TCCTGCTATCATCTGTAATAACTATTACTATTTCCTTAGATTCCACATCGCTAAAGGATACTAGCCCTATGGTCTGTCTAGAACACATTTCCTTGAAACAGTCCTGGTCATCAGATTATGCTTTTCCTCTTACTACAGTCTAGGCAAGCTTGAGCAGATTTTATGAATTCTTAGCCATTATGAATATCTAACTCCTAAATTAATTACTACAGTAAAGCTCACAGCCTCCAGAGAACTCTTCCATGTCCTACCAATCCACTTAGAGCTCCCTTGTGAGCTGAAGGTGCTTTTGTATCTCATAAGCTCAATTGCCACTGAGATGTCACAGAGGCACCTTAGATCAATCATGTCTACGGCAGAGCTCCGCTCCTTCTCCCCCAGGCCTACCCCCTCCTACACCCATCTCAGGGAATGGCCCAACCCTCCTCTCCATTGCAAGAGCAAGAGCCTAGTCTTCTCTCCGCACTGTCCTCCTTTTCAGTGGATGTGTTAAGTCCGATGGGTCCTTAGAGACTGGTGTACATGTGTTGGGCCAGGCGTGGGTATTTGCCTAGCTTGGTTATGGTCCCCAATATTGGGCTCCTTTTTAGGTTCCTGAAAGTGAAGTACTTCTCCCACGTTCTCCTGGGCTCTTGGAACATGATGATCGAGGGCTTTGGGATCCCTCTGTCTGGAATCTTTTTCCACACTCTATTTTCCTCTGGAAATTCTTATCCATCTCTCAGGTTCTACTGAATCTCATATTCTCAAGGAAGCCTTCCCCATTCACTAACTTAGATTAGGTTAAGCTCTCTCAAGAAGCTTCTTCATGGCACTTGTCATCATGCACCAGAGAGTGGGCTCATTTTCTCTTTTTATGTCCCCATGATGCCAATACTTTCAGCCTTTGCTTTCTGAAGATGTTTTAAAGTATGCAAGTCCTTTGCCAAAGCATCACATGGGAAAGTAATAGAAAATGCAAATGGAAGCAGGTGGGTCATCTAAAACTGCGGGGTGAGAAGCAGGGTGCTCTCCCCTTTTACTTACCACTGGGCCTTTTACTCACCACTGGGTATCTCTGAGGTCTTCCCAGGGACCCTTGCTTGGGCTTTTAGAATCACCAAGGTAGGGGGATTTTTTTTTTAAAGTCACATGGTGGAGTCTCTTCTGGGACATTCTGGGTATGTTGTGATGCTGGTATACCTGCTATGCACAGGGCACACCACCACATGCTGTGTGACTCTGCAATCCTAAACAGTATTCACCGGAAGACCTTCTTGTGATGCAAGATGCCTGTTGTATCTAGTAGAGGCAGCACTGATGGTGGTTATGCAAACATACAATCATACATACACATATAGAAGCCACCACCTTAAGGTCACCTGAGCACCTATGCAGCACCACCATCCATGCCTTCAAGAGTATTTTCAGCAGAAGATACCAGTGGCCAGGATTTAGAGACATCCTGACATCTGTCTGTCCTTTACTCAGCCTTAGCTCTACTTTCAGACGTCCCACCAAAAGAGATTGTTAATTTATGGTGAGTAGGGAGCAAAGATTGCAGATTTCACCTTCTCCTGGACTTCTTTTCATATAATGCCTTACAGGGTTACATGCACTAGTGCCATACTCAGTAGATATCTGAACTTAAACACAACTTCTCTATTTATTCATATTCAAAGTTTACTTTTGCATAAAGGGTTCAGGACTAAAACTATCATCTGCTTGTAGAGTGAAAGTAATACTAGGAACATTAATAGATTGCATTTTGTTTGTGTTCTCTCTGTGGCTTTGCTCAGGTTATAGTCTTGGCAGATATAATGACACTAGAATTTCACGAATTTAGAATTTGGAATTAGTTGCCTTGTGTTCAAAAACAGAAAGCCAGATCAGCAGGTAATCTTTTTGTTCCTGCAGTGGTAGTAGAAGTGCAAGTTCTCATTGGTCAAGCAGTCCTGGAATGTGAGTATTTCTCACAAACCCGACAACATGTTCTCAGATCTGAGACTATGAACATGAACTTGAGACGATGAGACTATACAGACCTAGGAGTATTTCTATGAACCCAAGAATCCTTCAACAGAAGCTGAAAAACTGCTTACGGCACTAGAAACCTATTATCTAAACAAAGTATTTCACTTGCAAATTATTCCTTGCAGAAGCAGACTTCTGTCTTTACTAGTGATGTAAGTTCTCAATTCAGGATGATCAGTGACGTAACAACACAATTATACCTCTAGGTCTCCCGATGCTCAGGGGCTAGAAACACTAGTACAAGAAATGAATTGAGCATAGAGGGTTCAGTCAAATGTTTATTGTCAACTCATTAATCTTTCTTGTAAGAACGTCAATGAACAGTGAAACTTCAACTATGCTTAAAACAGTGCCTTACTGAGGAAGAGGTTAATAAATGTTGATGAATGCTATTTTATTGAAACTCTATCCATATTTTACATAACTTAATTAAAGTTGGCAGTATATTCCAAACATTAAAATTCATATACTTCATAGTAGAAGTGTAAATAAGATCTGTAGTCTTAATTTAATTAGTCATTTCTTCTACTATGATTAGCCTTTGTTCTCTTATTCAGTCACATACATAATTGCATTCCATTCTACAAACTGCTCAAATGCTTATTTATTTTAGATATTGAATCCTTATAAGTGGCTGACACAGGTCCTCACCATTCTAAATTAGTGAATTTTTCATATGAATCTGGGTCATAAACTCATTATAACACTAGTTTTTCTCTCTTCCACCTAATCGCTGTTCCACTTCTTTTTGAAAATGCTGATTTATCCTAAATGCATATTGACACTTAGGTCTGCAACTCTTTGTCTCATACCACCAGGGCAAATGGAATCTCTCCTGCCCTCCCTGGGGCACCTGGTGTACCCAAGACAGGGTCTTCCACAATCAATCACATCTCCACCCACTATTGACAGTGGATTCAAAAGCAGAGAATAATTGATTAACAAATTAGACCTTGGGCCTTGGGGTCAAGTTTTGAGACAGAACTTGTGATTTATAACACTGGATAATTAATTAGAAATTGATCTGAAATTGCCAGTCAATAAGGAGCTATGGAGAGCCTTCCTTTCTTATTGGAATTCTGTACATTCTTTTGAAAAGTGCAGATGTCAAAATTTATGTGCTGATCAATTTGCTCTTTACAGAATAATTGTAGTGACATTTATGTTATTGCTTAGCAATGCAAGAGAATGTTCCACCCTTGCTCTGAAAGATCTGACAGCAAATAACCAAATACCTTGTGTCAAGAGGCAGCCCACTGCATGTCAAGCTAGGTAGGTGGTTTCACATATCACATCAGCTTTTTTTTTTTTTTTTTTTTTTGCCTTTGGGGTTGTTTCTCATATCTCAACATTTTTTTTTTTTTTTTTTTTTTTTTTTTTTTGCCATAGGGTGTATGCTCTTGCCAAAGAGAAACAGAGAGATAGAGAAGAGGGAAAGTGTGAAATCACCCCTTGGGGGGATGACTTTACCTAATCCCTTCTCCTCCATTCTCTTCTCAGGATTTGGGGCATGCATGCCAGTCTGGGACTTGAACAATGGTTGGCCTGTTAACCATATCACCTGCTGCCGCCCCACATCAGCTTTTATACATTGACTCTGTGCAGTCAGATTGCTATGTCAACTTTGCATATGAGGATAAGACAGTTCAGAGATTAGGGAAAGTGTCCAATGACTCATCAGCAGCAGGTGACAATGCCAGTGTTTTCATATCTCTTTGTTGATAACATTTTAAAAATTGTATTATGGCTGTCTTCACTCAGGACTTAGCTTTGTGAATATCCCTATTTTTTTTTTTTTTAGAGGTTTTTGCTATAGGGAGCGTACACTTGCCAGACTGAGAGAGAGAGACAGAGAGCAGAGAACGAGAAATCACCCCCCAGGGGGGGTGACCACGCCACAATCCCTTCTCCTCCACTCTCTTCTTGGGATCTTGGGCACGCACACACATGCACCCGGCGTGAGTTTTAAGCCACTGGGTCTGGAACGCGAATTACGGTTGACTACGTGGGAGTCCAGTGACATAGCCATTACGCTAACTGCTGGTCCCTGGATATCCCTATTAATGTGTTATGTCCTAATGGCATTGTATTCTGACCTTAGATTTCCCCAAATACTCCTATTTCTTTGAGCAGAGCTGTTTGGTGCCTGCACATTCTCAGAAAGAGCTACCAGTGTGGTCTAAAACAACTAAAGCTAATGAGGAGTAATCTGTGTGCAGATGCTATAATACAAGAGGAGCTACAAGGGCAGTAAAAATATTGTGTTTGGGTGAATGGATGGGGCTGCCCAGCGTGTGGTTTGCTGAGGTGAGAGCAAAGGCTGAGGTGGAAGATGGCATGCTCTGGATATTGGAGAACTGCAGTCAGGGTAAGGGAAGGCTGAAGAGAAGAGGTTATCCTGCCCTCCAAGCTTGTGTCCTTAGTTTTGTTTCCACAGGACAGATATGGGATGGAAAAAGAGCAACAGTATCTCTGGTATACTTCTTTTTTTTGGAGAGTTTTTTGCTATAGGGCACATGCGCTCGCCAGACAAACAGAGAGAGACAGAAAGACAGAAAGTGAGAAATCACCCCCCAGGGAGGATGGTCACGCTGCAATCCCTTCTCCTCCATTCTCCTCTCGGGATCTTGGGCACGTACACACACGAGCCCGACATGAGTTTTAAGCCACCGGGTCCGGGACTCGAACCGCTGTCGACTACATGGGAGTCCAGTGACATAGCCATTACGCTAACTGCTGGTTCCCGTGGTATACTTCTGTGCTGAGATACTTTGGTAAGGTTCTATAAGAGTATCAGTTTGACATTAATTGCTTCTTCCTTTACTAAAGTGAAAGTTACTTTTGTTACCATTACTATACTATTTATTAGAACTTAAGTGGTTTGTTATATAGCTTAGGTAAGGCTTCTCAGAGTAACTCTTAAAATAATACAAATCAGGGGCCAGCAGGCGGCATGGTGTCTAAGATACTTGACTCCCACGTGGTCTTCTACAGTTGGAGTCCAGACCCAGTGGCTTGAAAATCACACCAGGCATGAATGCATGTAAGCCCCAAATCCCACGAGGAGAATGGAAGAGAAGGGATTGTGGGGTGGCCATCCACCCTGGGGCTGATTTCTCACTTTCCCTCTGTCTCTCTCTGGCGAGTACATGTATCCTGTGGCAAAAACCAAAACTAAACCAAACAAACAAAAAAGCAAAGCAAAAACAAACAAACAAAACTAAGAATAATACAAACAATTTGCTGTACAGTTTTATAGTTTTCCATAATAATCTCATAACCAAATCTAAAGGAAGATTGAAAGGTTTGAAACAAAATCAGCTGTGACTTGAAATTTTACTAAATTACTATGAACTCTTGAAGTAACTTAAAAATTAACATGAAACTCTCAAATCAAAGGTTTATTCTAAAGTTATTCAAAATGCTTGGTACCAGAAGTGTTTCAGATTGCAAATCCTTTTAGATTCTGGAATATTTGCATGTACATAATGAGATATCTTGAGAATGGGACCAAGATTTATTTATGTTTTACATATGAGGAGTCTTCAGAAAGTTTGTGGCAAGTGCATATTATGAAAAAAGCACATATGAATTTCAAAATGTTCCTTCACCCAGGTAAACTCATATTTTAATTCCATTTTCCACAGACATTTTAAAGTATCCCCATAGACTGTATATACTTAAGGTAATTTTATGTAATATTTTGTATTGCAGTGTTTTGAGTATGACCCATCCATGAGATCAGGTGTGAGATCTTTCCCCTGGTAATTTTTGTGTTGGCACTTGAAAAGTTTTAGATTTTGGAGCATTTCAGATTTGGAACTTTCAGATTAGGGATGTTCAACCTGTAATACTTGGTAAAATGAAAAGGAGGGGGAGGGAGAGAAAGAAGAAAGAGAAGAAAAACTATAGGATAACAGAAACAATACTTTAAGCAAAAGCTACATAGGAAGTTGATGGTCTGAATTGTATTGGGATACTTGAGTTGGCAGCAAAATTTTGCCAAGGTCAAGAACAGCCCGTTAAACTGATGGCCACAGGTGAGTTCTCCAACTCAGCCTTCTGAACTGTTGCTTCAGTCTTGGAAAATGGCCATCTGGCCGGAAACCTGGGTGTCCCTGGTGTGTAAGACAGGGACTGAGCTTTGCACCCGCCACCCATCCCATTTCTCACCATCCTCTTTGGTCCGAGTGAAGATCTGTTCACTTCTGACCCCGTCTCCAGCGCGGGTAAAAGCCAACACCTGGATGCTGTAGTTGGTGTATTTTTCTAGCCCATCCAGCTCTAGGGAAGGCTGTGTGGTGGTGACATTTTTGATCTCGCCCAGCTCTGGGGACAAGAATAAGAAAACATGATCCCATTACCAAGCCTGTTAGTGCTTTTGTCCCTGGTCCTTCCTCACTGGCCAGCACTGTGCACAACCATCCTCCTGCCACATGTAGAAATTACTCAAAAGTTTTGTGTTGGTCAATGGGTAGCCATTTGGAAAAGACAGGTCACATCCAACTATTTCCCCCAAATAACAGGTGGAAAGTCAGTCTGGAAAGCAGAGCAGTTCACTCCAAGTTTTACAAACGCAACAACACCATGTCTGCCGCTCAGGATAGCCCTTGGGCAGCTGCTCATCAGGCATATCCTTTGCATCCCACCACAGTGAGTAGAGGCCCACATGCTGCTCATTCTGCAGAGTCACTGCTGACTGATTGTCAGGAAGCTTCTGCAAGTCGAAGATTTTCTTTTTTTAGTTTTTTTTTTTTTTCCATAGGGCATGTGTGCTTGCTGGAGAGAGACAGAGAGAGGGAAAGTGAAAAATTATTCCCGAGGGGGATGACTACAACACAAAAATCCCTTCTCCTCCATTCTCTTCCTGGGACTTTGGGAACGTACACACACGTGCCTGGCATGATGTCCAAGCTGCCAGGTCCAGGACCGGAACTGCAGTCTGTCATATAACAATCCAGCACCTTAACCACCATGATACCTGCTGGCCCCGAAAGTTGAAGGTTTTTAATCAACAAACTGTTTTATTTTTTATATTTACTGGGGGATGCCTGCACTCACCAGAGCGAGATAGAGACTGAGCAATAGATGGAGAAAGTACCCCTCACTGGTGTATCGTCATGCTGTAATCTCTGTTCCTCCATTTATCCTGTTGAGGCTTGGGGCACACAGGCACATGTACCCAGTGTATTTTCCGAGCCACTGGGTCCAGAATTACAGCCTTTGGTGGTCATGTGGGATCAGGCTCCCTTAAGCAATAGGCCATGAGGCCAGCCCAAGAACTTTAATAAACATATGTTTTTAAAACTTAACTTCCTCTTAAATATCCAAGCTAAGATCTACTCTCTTTGCCAATTTCAAATACACAATGCAGTCTTTTTAAAATTTTTAGATATGTGGTGTTTCCTGTATATTTTGCTTCTCCCCCCTCCCTCGGTTCCCTCCCTCTCATCCTCCGCCATTTCCTGCCCTCCTCCCACACTGTCTCTGGTGTCCACAGCTGCTCTCTATCCTCTTATACCATCTTTTTAATGATAGTCACCAAGTTGCACTTATTCATCGAGTATAACTGAAACTTTCTATTTTTTTGGGAAAAAAGGAAAATTGCAACTATATACGATGTAGATATATTATTGTAGCGATCATTTCATAAGGGATGCCTGTCAAAACATCAATGTGTACATTTCAAATATGTACAATTTTATTTGTCAATTATACTTTCACAATAAAAGACAGTAACCAATACTTAAATAAGAAAAAATAAAATGTGTCTTAGCTCCGCTGAATGGCTCAGCAAAGTTCTCTTCTTACCTGGAGTGAACCCCTCTGAGCATCATTGCTGAAGTGACAAGCCCACACATCAGAAACTTGGAGTTAGCTAAAAATGCTTCCCTTTCTGGAGTGGGATCAGCTAATAATATTCTAAGACAGAACGCTATGCTTTCCCATTTTTGGCACGTTGTACAGGGTAATTTGAGAAAACTTACAAATGATGTGCTAAGTACCTGCACGAGTACTTGGCCTCATGATTTTGAAATGAGTCACCTGCAGAGCCACAGCTGGAACATGAGGGAGCTCTAGGGCACTGTGCATCACAGCAGGAGGGAGCTGCTCTGCCAGGCTTGGTTCCACCTGCATGCCCGACTGCCTGGGTCCCCGATGTAAGGCTGAGGTCCAAGGGGCTTCCTTGCTGAGCAGCTGGTGGCTGGCAGTAGTAAAGGCCAACTTTGGGTACATTCGTAAAGCAATACCAGCTGTTGGTCAGTCCTCCTTACTCTCTTACCTGAGTCAGGATAGCTAACATGCCTGCTAACTGAGGTGCCAGCACTTTTCTAAGTACAAACATGAGCTCGTATGACTAGCCCAGCAATTCTATTACTTCCACCACCCATTCATTTCACAGATAAGGAAACTGAAGGAGAGAGAGGACCATGACTGTGGTCAGGGAGCCTAGCATAGCTCTTGAGATCCCAGGCCACAGAGCCAGCCTGCATGGTCTCAGTGCCACAGTCCACCATCTCAGCGACTCTGCTGTCATTGGTCAGTTAAGGAATCCAGGTCCCTTAACCAACAGGCCATGGGGTCTGAAATAGTGAGAAGCCAGTGGAAAGGGAGAAGCTGCCAGTCTGTGTGGGCTTGGGGAAGTGGTTTTTTTTTTTTTTTTTTTTTTTTTTTTTCCTGATTGATTCTCTGTTTCTGCTCTTTGTCTTTTTTTCTTTTTGATCATTCAGCATTTTGCACAGAATTTCAGGGATTAATAGTCATTGATTTTTTTATTAGGATGTCTGTGGAATGTCTACTTGTAAATTTTATTTTTGGTCACTAAAATGATCAAGTTTGAAGTGGATTTAGCATTAGGGGAGAATTTGAAATAACACATGGGTAGCTGAGGTTTGTTCAATGTGTTCAGGGAGTCCTGTGCATGGTCAGCGCTGTGAGGGAAGAGGACCATAGCTCCACACAGGCCATGGACACAGCCCAGACCCAACTGAGCCAGAGTACTGGCTACCTGCAGCTGACTTCAGGCAAGGTCTGTGGTCAGGATATTTTGCTAGGGAGAAAACTGGGTGAGGAAGATGGCATGAAATGTGGTTTTGGCCTACAAGTTTCTAGAGAGGGTGATAGGGTGCAGCTTTCCAGGTTTCCAGTTTGAAAATCTGAATAGATGGCTCCAGAGAATGAGAAAAAGGTTTGCTAACACATAGAACCCTATGTATTCAAAAGCCAGTAAGTGACTGTCCCAGATGGGTTAGAAACTCCCCCCTCAGAAGGAAAGGTCTTTCCATAATCAGCTGTTTTTGTCGATTTCTTGCATGCATTGAATAAGGTCAATTGGATTAAGACAAAAAAACCCACAAAAAACCCAAATGTTAATGGGAAAACTTGAAATATAGAAATCATAAGGATCTTTTTAGATTTAGAAATTTCTACATTGTGTCAGAGATATCACACACACACACACACACACACACACACAGGAAAAACACAGCTAAGGGGGGGGGGCTGTACAGGGCAGTGTGCTAGCAATGGATCGAGACCTTGAGCAAGGCCTTTGGCCTCATGGAGCCTCTGTTCATTTTCAAGAAGGTCACAGGGTGTCTGCCTCATAGAGGAAGCATGATCTAATGTGGTAACACAGCAGTGCTGTTCTCAGATGGAATAGTACACAGAAGAAGAAAATGTTAGAGGGAGAGTGCAACATGGCACTCCCCAATTTCTGTAAAGAAAGTAACAAAAAAAAAAAACAGAATTAAATTTGCTAATGAATTAATATACTAATTAGAATTAATATTTGGATGTTTACTCATTCAGGGGTACATAATGTTTTGATTAATTTATCACCAACCATAAATATGATTGCAATCAAAACCCCAATTCGAATTATCCCCAAAAGATTCCCAAGACTACCTGAGCACCAGAATCAGTCCTTTCCTTGCAAATACCTCATTGTCTCTAATAAAAATTATCTTAATGGGGCCAGCAGCTTGTATAGTGGTTAAGGTGTTAGACTCCCACATGGTCAACCATGGTTTGAGTCCTGGACCTAGCAGTTTGAGATTTATGTCAGGTACATGTGTGTGCATGCCCAAAATCCCAAGAGCAGAATGGAGTAGAGAGGACTGTGGTGTGGCCATCCCATGTAGGGGATGATTTCTTGCTTTAGGTCTCTTTCTGTCTCTCGGTACTTCCAGCAAGAGCATGAACCCTGTAGCAAAAATCTCTCAAAAAAATTATCTTATTAACTGCTACTGGTGATTAATGGACATGGAACAAAATGATCAAAAACGCCAGATACAAAACTGTGTGGTTCATCTACCATTCTTTCTCACTCAACTTTTTTTTCCTATAGTTTAAACATGAATTTCTACCATCTGCTGTTCACAGCCCCAACATATATGTGTATACACATATACACACATAAGTAAAATATATATTTTAATATATAAATATATACTTACATATATAAATATCAATATACAAATATATACTTACATATAAAATAACTGTATATAAATATACTTATATAATCATATATAAATATATTTATGTATGTAAATATATTTATTTTTCTATATAAAAGTATAAATTATAGTGTTAAATTGAAGTCATGACTAAAATAAAATGAAACAAATATATAATACAAATTTAGAAATCATATTCTTTTTATCACAAAATGTTTTCTAAAACAAAATGGTTTCATGTACTTACTTACACTCAGTCTCATTTTCAAAAGGTTTTAAGGCAGAACACAAAATAGGGGTGGAAATGGAAATAACTTCTGAAGTAGCCCCAACTGCCCAACAAACCCCTGGTTAGCACTTAAATGTTGCTTCATTTCAAAATTGACAGTTTTGTCTTGAAAAATGACAGAAGAGATAAAAAGCAGCTACGATTCTGATGAAAATGATGACTTTTCAAAGTGTACAATTTTCTTAGCAATCTCAGATGAAATGCTTTTTGTCAGGTCTTAAAAAGTATTTAAGTTTCTGATTATAATAAAATATTCAGAAATTTCATCAAAATATTGTGTATTTACCCAGCTCTGTTAAATATATTGCGTAGATGATTTTATTTTATCACATTAAAAACAAAATGCTCTTTTATACATATTGTAGGAATTACTTGGATAAATTGCTAATCACAGAGATAGTAACAGTTTCTGATTCTCAATTTGTGTGAGTATGTGTGGTATGTGTAATGTGTGTGTAGCATATATATGTGGTTTGTGCGTTGATATGTATGTAATTTGGGTGTGGTGTATGTATAGTGTTTATGTGCCCTGTGTATTTACGTGTTTGATGTGGGTGTGGTGTGGGTATGGAGTATGATGTAGTGTGAGGTGTGGTGCATATATATGTATAGTGTGTGTGTGTGTATTTGTACGTGTGTGGCATGTATGTGTGTGAGAAATGTGTGCATGGTACCCATGTATGGTATCTGCATTTGGCGTATTTGTGTATGTGATGGGTATGTGTGTAAGCTCGGGTTTTTAACAAGGATTAGCTGGTACTATTCTTTACAAAATGACTACCTGGTCAGTGTCTGTGGGAATCCAGTCAATCCTGGGCCACAGCCTGCAGCGTTTGTACAAGAGCACCCGTAATGACATGACCCGACTGGCTAATGCAGAAGTGCCGGCTCTCTTGGGGAGCAGGAGGCAGGGACCTCTCAGAAGTGGACTGATTATTCTGAGAGTTTCTTTCATGTCATTTAGAAAAGCATAGAATTTCTACATGAGACACTAATCATATCACTTTGATCTTAATTCTGTAATTAAAAGTATCTTTGAAAACTGTAGGCATTTCCAAGCAATCTTTATTTAAAGAAGTATGTGTTTTCAAATGTTCAAATGTTTGAAGCATTGAAAGTATAAAGCCTCATTATGCATTTTAAAACTAAGATATGGAGCCATCAGCTAGTGTGGTAGTTGAGGCAGTGGACTCCCACATAGTTTACTGTGGTTCAAGTCCCAGACCTAGCAGCTTGAAACTCACCATGGGTGTGTGTACATGTGTGGCAAAAATCCCAAGAGGAGACTGGAGGAAAAGGGATTGTGGCATGGCGATCCCTCATGGGGGTGGGGGCATTTCTAACTTTCTCTGTCTCTCTGTGTGTCTCTGGTGAGTACATGTGCCCTATCATAAAAATCTCTCTCTTAAAAAAACAAACAAGTAAACACTAAGATATGAACAGGCAAAATGATTAAATCTGAGTGCCATGTGAAACTATGGATGGTATGTATGAGTAGTGACCACTGGACTTTGAAATGTGTCCAATCATAACAATAAAGAAGACACTTCAAGTGTGAAACTGCCTTTAAGTGTATTAGGGCAGGGGTCCCCAATCCCTGGGCCATGGACTGGTGCTGGTCCATGACCTGTTGGGGGTGGGTGGAAGATGGTGATTGGAAGGTGGGCGAGTGAGTGAGGGTTCACCTGTGTTTGTAGGCACTTCCCATTGCTTACGTTGCTGCGTGGGCTCTGCTTCCTATGGTAGGTACCTACAGTGGTATTGGATTCTCATGAGACCGTGAACCCAATTGTATGAGTGTTTCATTGTATATTGCAACATGGTAGTGGTGGAAAGGGGGTGCACAGTGGGTAGTGTGCACAGTGGGTGTGATGTACTTGGGTCATTTCAGGACCATCCTTTCCTCTGCTCCTTGTCCATGGTGAGATTGTCTTCCACACGCTCGGTCCTTGTGCCAGGAAGGGTGGGGACTGCTGTGTTAGGGTATTTGACACAAGTATATGTCATGATGCTCTATAGTAATCTGTTAATAAAATGGATGACTTATGCATTTTCATTACTCAATACTAATTTTTAAAAAATACCTTTCATTGTGTGTGTGTGGGGGACTATCTACTTATATCTGCCTTTCTATGGCCATAAACTCCATATTAATTTGAGTCTCTCCCTTTCACTGGTCTAGAATATCCTACAGGGTTCGCACTGCATCTTGGGTGTCTCCCATGACATAGTACAGAGCAAATACTCAGTGAACATGTGTGTAAGTTTTTCTAGGATGTCTCCTGGGATTGGATGCCATGGGAGGTGCTAGAACTAGACTCACTGTCAAGAGAATGTGTCTAGACCTTTGCCTTGAGAACCAAGTCTAATGAGGGACAAAAGTAGTTCAGGCTTAAACACTGGTGTTTACTTAGCAAATGATGTGTATTTTGCTAATGAATCTTCTCTCCTTTATTCTGGCACCAGTAATAGAGTCTCCTGCAGCCTTTGAGGTCCTGTGAGTTCTGTTTCCCATACTTGGCAGCGCAGGGCCAGGTGGTCCTGACAAGGGTGGAAAAACTCTAGAGACCTAGGCTGTATTTGCTCAGAATCAGAGGTGAGCACCTACCAGGGCACCACATCCAGTTAGAGGGGCTACAGGAAGGCCCAAACAAGAGGGAGGCGTGGTATAGGAGCAGTTGCAAAGGAGGTGACTAGAAAGAGAGGTCCTCAGGAATATAACTGTGGGTCTGAGTCATGGGGCATGGATGTGATCGGACTAAGAAGCCTTTCCTTTTGGGGGCTGTGGCCAAGGTGTGCACCCACCACACTCTTGTGTGGGGCTCAGCCTGTGCCAGTAACAGTCACATTCTGAAAGCAGACACTAAGATGCAGCCTCCCTAAGAAACATCTTGCCCCAGTCTTGCCACCACCTGAACTGATTTTGTCTCAAACAACAAGAGAACTGTATCCTACAACTTGAAAGAAACACACACACACACACACACACACACACACGAGAAAGAACCTGGAAGAGAAGGAAGAACAGAAGGAGAAAAATAAATATACAATAATAGGGATTCTGAATTTAATGACTCTTCACTGAGAGTAAGAACGCTGCCATGTGCCACATAATGATATTTTGGTCAGTGACTGACCACACACACTAGGATGGTCCCATAAGATTATAATGAGCTATATTATATAATGTAGGTATGTACTAGGATATCTAGGTTTGCTTAAGGACACTCTGTGATGTCTGCACAATGAAAAACCACTTACTGATGCATTTCTCAGAATGTACGCCCATCATTAAGTGACAAGTCTGTATTCCTCTCAAGACATTTTGGCTTTCTTAGGAAATCTCCATCTAGTTCAATTATAGGAACTTAAAAAGTTCCCCAGTTGAGTTATCTTTGAAGACTAGGACAAGGCCAACTTTTTAGAATACACAAAGAAAGTTCTAGATATAGGTCAAAGTGTTGGCTGTCTGCAGAGACTTGATATAGATATCCATAATTAGGAAAACACTTCCAAATCTAACTTTCCCAAGTGCCACCCACTCCTGTGCTTCCCATTGCATTTTTAAGGTATGTGATTTTTCTAAATAGCTTGCACACATCTGTTCAAATGTCAGATGAGAGATAATAGAGAAGAAGAAAATGGCTGTTGATAAAGGAATCAATAGGAATTAGATCCTAAATTATAATTATAAATTTAGGAATTTATATCCTAAATCCCACACTAAAAAAGGATCTGAAAATTCCATCATGCATCTTTGGGGGCAGTCTCAAAACTCTAGTTTAATCTTACCTCCATCCATGAGGTTGGCCCAGTAAATGACTCTGAACCCCTGGAGAATTCCATTCAAGGCTTCCTTGGAAAGTGTGGACCAGGATATTGATATGCTTTCTGGTGATGTTGCTATGGCTTGGACATTTTCGGGGGGATAACTCGGCACTGAAATTAAATAATTAGAAGCTATAATAAATGTGAGTGGTTTTATTAGCAAAGCAATACTGAATAAGCAACATAGTTTAATATTCAATGTTCAAGCAAATGAATGATTGCACTCCATCCTCAAGATGGAAGAAAACCCCCACAAATGCCACTTCTCTAAGCAAATACTGTGATAACTCAGTAAAACATCATGAGAAGATACATATATCTCAATGGACTCCATAGTCTCTCTTTCCAACTTAACTGTTTAACTTTTATGGAAATTGTTGCTTGGAATGAGTATACTTTTAATCTTATTAGATGAAAAGAAGACCATTGTTTGTCTGATTTGTGTTTTCAGTTCTTACAACTTACCATTTCAAGTTACATTTACTTTATATACGACATTATCTCCTTATTTAATAATATCTGGCATATAAATTGGGAGCCTAACTATTGAAAGTACCAAAAAACCAAAATCTAATAATTTTTTCAGTGTCCCATTCTCATTAGCCCTCATTTCAATACTATACTCTTGTCAAGAGAGACAATGGACTAAGAGACAAGTTAAAAGAATATTACAAAGTGTGTTCAACACTGAGTTTATGTAAACTTAAATGTTGGAGCTAAGATAGGGTGCAAAATACTGGCTAAATCATCCATCTTAATAACAAACGAGAACTAAAGCAAAAACCAAATGGCACACTTAATTACTATTGCAAAATTATGAAAATAGACAAATACAGTTGTAAAGTCTCTAGTTGCCTAAGACTCCTCTTCCTGCAGAAAGTTTCCGGAAGTCATAGATGCAAGTCATAATTTGCCTCCTCAAATCTATGATTAAATGGCTAACTGCAGAAGAGGTCACTATATTGCAAACTTGCTTCCTTCAAATATACCACTCGTGACAAGTTAGCCCCATATCTTACATTTGCATCCACAAAATAAGCTGAGTTTCTGAACACAAGAATTATCTTTCCACGCACCACTGGAAATCTGAATTTTTAGATTGTTTTGTATCACAGTGGAAGGGCACATTAGTTCGTCATGGCCGCTAGGGGGTGCACAATCACTATGAGAGCTGCACCAGGAAGCCAGATCATTTCCTTTTTCTGGTCTCAATGCTTGAAAATAGAAAGAAATCATCAGGAAAAGGAGAGAGAGAAGAAAAAGGAAAGTAAAAAACCCTTCTTAACACTGAGTTAAGAGAAATTCTTTATTCTGGATTTCTGTATTCTGGTCAGACTTCTGCAGTAATGAGAGTCTTGGTATCATTCCAGAAAAGCTCAGTTCTCCTGCTTGAACTGAATGAAGAAGATTCTGAAAAGGGAATGGATTTTGGCTTTACAATAAGTCCCTGTCCAGCATGGGTCTGAATCAGTGAGGCCAGTCAGGTAAGCAGGGCCAGCCAGATAAAAAAGATAGGCTTTCCCACTGGAAACCCCACTCCCCACAGACCCAGCTGCCTCTTCGACTGCATAACCAGCAGGGAGCAAGGATGTGTGGGGGGAGGCAGAGTGGCCCCAGAGCAGACTGCTGAAGAAGGGAAGCTCCGTGCTGTGGCCTATCCAAACCTACCATCCTCGAGCGTGGTGGTGATAATTTCCTGAGAAGAAGGTCCCGTGCCGGCCCGGTTGCAGGCCTGCACCACCAGGCCATACTGGGTGAACTTGTTTAGGTTGTCCAGGGTATAAACCTCACTGTCCCCGGTGGTGTCGATACTGATAATGTTGAATTGGAAGTTGCCCCCAGTGCTGTACTCTCGGTAACCTATTTGGTAGCCACGGATAATCCCATTTTGCAAATGTTTCTTGGGAGCCTAAACAGGAAAGAAAAGAATTCACTAAAGAAGACTTGAGGTAGGACAAGAGCAAAATTCACACCCACACCAACTTAGGAAGACAAAAATAAGTCAAATAATAATAACCATAACAGGCCCGGCAATAGTAGCAGTGCTAGTGATGGCACACTCCTTTCGTTACCTGTATGGGTGCCGGCACCCCTCACCACCACTCTCTGAGACAGTTTTACAGAGGTGGTCGCCCAAATATAAAGTGGCAGAAGATGAACCTGAAACTTAGTCTGTGCTCGCAGCCCCTCTTTCATGCTGACATGGTTGATAAGCCTAAGTGGTAGGGAAGTTCTAAAAGACAGCTTGCATTTGTGGCGTCTCCATGTACACCAACAATCTTGCAGTGAGGCCTACCTTCAGGCATTCACCCAGTAATATCTTGAGCTCACCATTCTGTGCCAGGCATTATTCTAGGTACAAGGGAACAGAATTGAATTTAAAAACTGAAAAATGTTCCTGCTCTCAGAGAGCTCACATTCTACAGGAGTATCACAGAATAATAGTGATTCTGTGTTGAAAACTGGCATGTAAAGGGGACTCTATCATTGATAAGAAGGAAAAGCTCTTTTATTAAAGCCGAAGTCACTTGGAACCATTTTGTGCTGATTAAGTAGGGAAGAGAGGCTGGACTGAGATTCATTCTGCTGGTGGAAAAGGGTCCTCCAAGCCACAGACGGTACAGTTTTGGTGACATGTTGGAGAAGCCAGGCCCCCTTCAAATATGTTATGAGAACACCACCTGGACCAGCAGCTGGCATAGTGGTTAAGGCGCTGGATTATGACTGACCACGGTTCGAGTCCTGGACCAGGTGGCTTGAAACATGCCTGGGTACGTGTGCGTGTGTGTCCAAAGTCCTGAGAGGAGAATGGAAGAATGGAGGAGAAGGGATTGTGCTGTGGCTATTCCTCCTGGGGGGGGGGGGATTTCTCACTTTCAGTCTCTATTTATAAAGCAAGCACAAGTACCCTATACCAAAAATCTCTCCCGCTCTCTCTCTCTCTCTCAAAAATAAAGAACACCACCAAACACCACTGAGGTGATGTGCTAAGTAACGACCAAGATTTTTTAAACTTTAAGGTAAACAACCTGCCTGGGGGGGGGGGTGATTTCTCACTTTCAGTCTCTATTTATAAAGCAAGCACAAGTACCCTATACCAAAAATCTCTCCCGCTCTCTCTCTCTCTCTCAAAAATAAAGAACACCACCAAACACCACTGAGGTGATGTGCTAAGTAACGACCAAGATTTTTTAAACTTTAAGGTAAACAACAGCTGTGCGTATATATATTTATGTGTGCACATGTGTATATCTGTACTAATGTGTGTGTGTGCGTGCACCGCATAAGGTTTCAGTCAGTGATGGACCACATATATGATGGTGGTCTTATGCCCGGTTGCAGGCCTGCACCACCAGGCCATACTGGGTGAACTTGTTTAGGTTGTCCAGGGTATAAACCTCACTGTCCCCGGTGGTGTCGATACTGATAATGTTGAATTGGAAGTTGCCCCCAGTGCTGTACTCTCGGTAACCTATTTGGTAGCCACGGATAATCCCATTTTGCAAATGTTTCTTGGGAGCCTAAACAGGAAAGAAAAGAATTCACTAAAGAAGACTTGAGGTAGGACAAGAGCAAAATTCACACCCACACCAACTTAGGAAGACAAAAATAAGTCAAATAATAATAACCATAACAGGCCCGGCAATAGTAGCAGTGCTAGTGATGGCACACTCCTTTCGTTACCTGTATGGGTGCCGGCACCCCTCACCACCACTCTCTGAGACAGTTTTACAGAGGTGGTCGCCCAAATATAAAGTGGCAGAAGATGAACCTGAAACTTAGTCTGTGCTCGCAGCCCCTCTTTCATGCTGACATGGTTGATAAGCCTAAGTGGTAGGGAAGTTCTAAAAGACAGCTTGCATTTGTGGCGTCTCCATGTACACCAACAATCTTGCAGTGAGGCCTACCTTCAGGCATTCACCCAGTAATATCTTGAGCTCACCATTCTGTGCCAGGCATTATTCTAGGTACAAGGGAACAGAATTGAATTTAAAAACTGAAAAATGTTCCTGCTCTCAGAGAGCTCACATTCTACAGGAGTATCACAGAATAATAGTGATTCTGTGTTGAAAACTGGCATGTAAAGGGGACTCTATCATTGATAAGAAGGAAAAGCTCTTTTATTAAAGCCGAAGTCACTTGGAACCATTTTGTGCTGATTAAGTAGGGAAGAGAGGCTGGACTGAGATTCATTCTGCTGGTGGAAAAGGGTCCTCCAAGCCACAGACGGTACAGTTTTGGTGACATGTTGGAGAAGCCAGGCCCCCTTCAAATATGTTATGAGAACACCACCTGGACCAGCAGCTGGCATAGTGGTTAAGGCGCTGGATTATGACTGACCACGGTTCGAGTCCTGGACCAGGTGGCTTGAAACATGCCTGGGTACGTGTGCGTGTGTGTCCAAAGTCCTGAGAGGAGAATGGAAGAATGGAGGAGAAGGGATTGTGCTGTGGCTATTCCTCCTGGGGGGGGGGGGGGGGGTGAGAGGAGAATGGAAGAATGGAGGAGAAGGGATTGTGCTGTGGCTATTCCTCCTGGGGGGGGGGTGATTTCTCACTTTCAGTCTCTATTTATAAAGCAAGCACAAGTACCCTATACCAAAAATCTCTCCCGCTCTCTCTCTCTCTCTCAAAAATAAAGAACACCACCAAACACCACTGAGGTGATGTGCTAAGTAACGACCAAGATTTTTTAAACTTTAAGGTAAACAACAGCTGTGCGTATATATATTTATGTGTGCACATGTGTATATCTGTACTAATGTGTGTGTGTGCGTGCACCGCATAAGGTTTCAGTCAGTGATGGACCACATATATGATGGTGGTCTTATAAGGAGTACACAGGCTATAACATACAGCGTTGGTATAGCAGACTACACCAGCTAGGTTTGAGAGTACACTCTGTGATGTTCACACAACGATAATCTCACCAGTGACACATTTCTCAGGAAATATCACTGTCCTTAAGTGACATATAACTGTTGGTATGTACGCAGACACACATATTTATGTACAAACCATAGTTCTTGATCTTTCAGGGATATGAAAATCTTTCTCTACCCTGAAAGTGCTTATACTCCAGCTCGGGAGAAAAAACAAACACTTAAACTACAGAGAACTATGAAGTGTCAAAGTGTATGGTACTGGAAGATGAAGGCCAGCAGGCAAAAAGAAAGTGGCAAATAAGAGTGGTCTGAAGTAGTGAGAAGAGGCAGAACCCTGGTGGACTTGGAAGGATGGCAAGGGCTCACGAAACAGAGGTGAGGATGTGATGGGCAGAGCCTGCAGAAATTACCTTGAGAGACACCAAATGCTTTATGGCAGGGGAGAGCCCATAAGTACAGTCGTGAGAAATGACAGAAACCGGTAAGGTGGAACTGTGGATGAGGGAGGTCCTGAAAACTAGCAAAACGTGACTGAGGGAAGTACAGACAATGAGAAGTGAGAAGGTGAGCAGGTAAGCAGTGCTGATGAAGCCAGCGAATATTTATGGATTGCCTAATAGGTAACCCCCCGGCAGAGTTAGATGCTTTCTTGAGGAATTAGTCTGAGTTATACAAGAGAGTAAAGTTACAACTCTTTTTCAAAGCTAGTTTCCTCATTGGTGATGTTTTCTAGTTGTTTCTTTTGTTTGTCTGCTTTTGAGAGAGGTTTTTGCTATAGGGCGCATGCGCTTGCCAGAAAGACAGAGAGAGACATAGAGACAGAAAGCCAGAAATTACCCCCCAGAGGGATGGCCATGCTGTAATCCCTTCTCCTCCATTCTCCTCTCATGATCCTGAGCATGCACGTACACTCGCCTGGTGTGGATTCAAGCCACCGGGTCCAGGACTTGAACTGCGGTCAACTACATGGGAGTCCAGTGACATAGCCATTACGCTAACTGCTGGTCCCTCCAGTTGCTTCTTTTTTAATCACCAATCTGATTTAAAGTATATTTACATGGTGCTGATGGATATCAATAAAAAAGTCAAGTAAGCCATTTAGTTTTTAGTCAAGTTGACATGAACCTTGGCTTAAGATCTGTCTGATAGACAAGTGTCTATGACCTCCTGGATCCACAGATTTATTGTCTTTTGCACTGGTGAGTTATAGCTTTTCACTTTGTTTTGAAATAAGACTAAAGATTTTAGATTTTGAAAATTCAATTATGTGGACCATAGAGTTACATTAATTAATAAAATTAATTTACCAGCAGAAATCATGTGTCAGTCACATATATCAACAGATTTCTCCTACTTCACACAGGTTTTTAGTGTTAAATATTGTGATCCAGATATAAGTGATAATTTTCTTAAAGTTAGGTGTAGGCCCAGTCTCTGTGGTATATGTAGCTGACGTACTGTGCTCCATAGGCCGGCTGGGACCGCACGTGAGCTCACTTTGGTTCTTGGTCTAATGGCCAGGCTGCTCATGTAATCCTAGCTTCTCAGGGAGGCTGGGGGTGGGGCGGGGGGAGGCAGTTAGGGAGGCACAAGTTTAAGACTGACAAGGGTAACATAATGAGCCCCTGTCTTTAAAAAACAAACAAACAAGTGATAGTTAAGTTTATGTCTATTAAACATTCTAACTCTCCCTGAGAGGCTATAAGCCTCCCTAAAATAGCAAGTCAGACTCACCACATGGGGGCTATTGGCATAGTGAGATTAAGGAGGAAGTGTAGTCAGTGAGGTCAGATGTCTACATGAAGACGCTGATACAGAGCAACGACGTTAGCGATCCCCTCTAGAAGTGTTAAAGGAATCTGTCTGCTAATATGTGGTTTCAGGAGAGAGAGAGAGGCACAGTGAAGGACAGAAGAAAGTACTCGCCCACAGCACTGTCATGTTGCAGTCTTTCTTCCTTCAATTTTTCCATCTGGTCAAGATCTCGGGCACACGTGTGGATGTCCAACATGCTGCTGCCAGGG